AATCCTAGAATCCCGATGAGTTTTTGAAAGTAGCTGAAAGTGTTCATCGCTACAATGTTTTGATTTTTCATTCATCCAGTCTGCGCGTTGACAGTTTTGATAGACGTATGATATGTGAAGAGCGGAAGTCCCTTGTCTTTTCCGGTGTGTTTTCTCACAAAATTAAGTCGGGGAGATTCAACGAGATTTCGTGGGCGTTTTTAATAAAACAATTATTCTACTCGCGCTTGTTGGATATGAGATGATTATAGCCAACTCGGCGCACGCGCCTCGTTGGCTATCTACTATCTCATATCCAACGCGCCCTCGTGGAATAATTGTTAATTATTACACTGACGGGGTTATCCTGTATAATAATATTATATTTATTATTATAAGTAGGTTTTGACATTCCTCTTTGTTGGCCTATCTTCGCTCATGATGCAAAGGCAAAATTTAACCTTTCAATTTGTCCTTATACAGTAGTGCCATTGCCAACTGTAGCAACTCTCCTTAACCCATCAGCAGCATCATTGACCTCCTCAACAATTGTCTCAATACAGTCATCAGCCTCAGGTGTGTTAATAAAAGTATAGTATGCGTAATACGTCCGCGCTTGTTGTATGATTCAGGAGCTTATTAAACAAATACGACGACGAACACAACGACAACTTCAAAAAACAATAAACCTCTTTAGCTTGTATGTTTTTTTTTGCCAATAGAGGTCCAAGGGGAACTTGGCCCTTTGTCTTTTCATAATTCATGCGTACATATGCAATTGAATAAAACGAAATTTGAAAGAAACCGTTCTCTAGCTAATTCAAAAAACTTATAAGGCGCAAATATCTATATAAATATATTCAAATGCGTAAATATATTCAATTAGCTATAGAGTACTATCAGTTGACCTGTATTGGAAAAAAATACAAGCTAAAGAGGTCTATTGGTTTTATGAGCAAAACAACAGCTCTGCACGTGCAACACGCTTTTTTTTACATTTCTTTGATGATCACTGCACGACTACGAGGTGAAATCTCCCAATGCGACGTTTTGTGGAGGACGTGGACATACGACGACAGATTTTCATTTCTCTCTTTGAACATGGATAAAGCCCTTACAGCCGATTTCAGTGCTGTGTATACACCCTCATTTTTAGACGTGATTCGACAGTCACGATTCGACCGTCGTGATTCGCCCGAGAGGTTACCAAGCAGTGCAGTATTTTACCTTGAATATCCTACTTTAATGATAGCTTGAATGTTTCTCTTGTAATTCAGAGAAAGAGGACTGTGTTCCATAATTTGCTCTCCTTTCAGACAACAGCCTCTCATACAAGTCACGCAATCTAATCGCAATACATGTTATCGGGCGCGTGGACGTCTCGATCAATAAGTTTTTCGGCTCTTTTCTCAACTTTTTTAGGGCTTCTACCTTGATCTTCAAAGAAATATCATATTTTACCCTTTTTCAATAAGAGCAACTGTTGCTTTCTTTTATGTATGGTTTTCTTTATTTGTGCTCACTAGGATCATAGATCGAGGACCGAACATTGTGATATTTTTCAATGGTCGATAAAACAAAACTTTCAAACTTGCCAGCAAATTATTTCACAACGGCATACAAATCAATTTATCTGTTGATTTCTTCTGCAAAACGTCAAGTTTTCCTGTTATTTTTTAACCATGCAGAAGCTAAGTAAGGACGAAAAAGTACCAACTTGACGAAATAAAAATTTGCCTCCCTGCTAACTAAATTTCCATCACTGGCGGGTGGTATTCCCCCACGGCAAAATACCGAAACCTTGTCATATGAAAGAAGACTAAACGATAAACCATCGGACTATTTCGCTTTCCGCCGTATTGATAATATTTTGTCCATTATGAAATCGACTACAGAAATACATTCGAACTCGGCAATCGAACTTCAGGTTTATCACCTGATCACATGTTATCATAATCTCTGTATCACGTCGCTGCTTTCCAGGCAACAAAGCTTTCCTCTTCAGGTAAAACGCATTTGTCGGGATTATAGCTTCGTTACACTTATGTCCTTTAGTGTTAAATTTTCCCTCCCAGCCAGATTTTTCTCTCACTGTTTCGGATCCCAAAACAGAACTCTCAATTATTTTTGCAACCGTTCACGTACTGCGAAGCGAAACGTCACGTGATTAGTGTCGAATCATGACAGGTCGAATCATGACCGTCTAATCATGTCTGAAAATCCGGGTGTATACATAGCAATGAAATCAGCTGTAAGAACTCAACACCAAAAAAAATTGGCTACATTTGACGAATTGAGCGGTTCGAAATAGACGCGATAAAGTTTGAGAGAAAGCACATTTTCATTTTTCAGTGATGTTTTCACTGCCGTCGTCGCCGTTGTTGTTTAAGGTGACTCCGCCCAGTTATTTTGTGGGGGTACTATATCCTACTTTGAAGCTCTCTGGCATCCCCACCTTTACTTTGATCTTAAGTCTAACATATAGCATGAATAACATATTCTAGATCAATCTACAATACAGCATCAAAGTTTTGGCGATCGGAGTAAATGTCACGTGGTTATAGGGCCACGTCTCTTTGGAGTCTGATTCGAAATTCTTCTGTTGCCAGCATTTTTTCGTAGTCTGTCATGATACAGAATTCTTGTTCAGCACGCGCGCAATGACTGTGCGTGGCTGACCTCCGAATGCTCATCAAGATTTAAGAATTTGTTCATGCTTAGCAAAGGTTATGAATGGACCATTAAAATTATTAACTGCTCGCAAAAATTTAGCTTTGGTCGATTTGCTCGCAAAATTTAAACGAGTGCCCGCTTGCTCGTGCTCCCCAAATTTTTGCAGTTGCTCGCATACTCGCTTTCTTGTCAGTATTGCTCGAGATTTTCTGGATCCTTCTTTGGATTAAATCAAATGTAATTCTGTATGCTGCTTAATTCCTATAAATATGGCTATCAAGTTCAGTGGAAATGCACGCGATAAATGACAACGATAAATAATAAATTAGCTAAACTAGCTATACATGGTTAAGAGAAAATATTGTTACCTTGAGTTCTTCTGAGTTTCTCTACCGCTCTACTCACTGGGCTTTAACTAGGCCGTGTTTTCAATAAAAACGGTTTGGAAGCTTTAGGATTCCTCCAGAAGAGGTTGTTCTGACACGAGGATCTTGTTCCTCTTCAAGTTCCTGAGTGATATCCCTTTCTTCAACCCCCCTGACGGTCAAGACGTTCTTCGTTAGAGCTCTTGGTTTAAATCGATATGAAATTCTTCGTCTGTGAAATGCACTTCCCAAACGGTTTCAATCACAAGATGTTTCTCTACCTGAGCGGTGAACTCGTAATTGAATATTAGACAATCTTCGATGAGAATCAAATCGTCTTTTAAAAATATTTTCTGTTTTATTTTAAGGAAAAGGTTTTCCATATGGATTGCTGCAAGCGGAAAGTATAAGAAGTGCTCCCTGCTCGCGAGTTGCACTCTCTAAACCGCTCGCTGCTTGCAAAGCAAATTTTTTATCTCTGCTCGTGCTCGCAAAAAAAATCTCAGTGTTCGCATGCTCGCGAATTATACGCTCGCTAAGAGGGGTGACGAATGGTCTTTGCGAGCATTCAAATGCTCGCAAAGACCATTCGTCACCCCTCTTAGCGTGCGTATATCGAGTTATGGATGCACGCGGGAACTATGGAGAGCACGAAAGATGCGTAAGAGTAGCTCGAGGCGCAGCCGAGAGCAACTCTAGCTTCTTGAGTGCTCTCCAAACTTCCCAAGTGCATCCATAACTCGATATACGCACAGCTAAAAGCATGAGAAAATTCTTATATAATATAGCTGACAAAAAATGCTTGCTTTTTGATTAACTGCAAAATTCTCGTAACGTGCGACACAGAAAAACAAACGCTTCTATTGGCCACAATCTTCGACTTTGAGAGAAAATTCTCTGTAAAACTGAGGAAAGAAAATTTGCTTATTTGTGTGTTAACGATCAATGGAAACTAAGCAGAAATAAAGGTAAGAGAGTCATAAAAGTCCACCTAAAGTTGAAATACACACATGTTCGTAAGAAGTCGTAGAGTATGGTTTGGACTCACTGAAAAGATTTCAAAAATCCAGATAACTTTCTTTTTTTAGCGAAGACGATTGTCATCCTACTTTATATATTCATTTACGAACAATGGCTGGTCATTACGGCTTCTCGAGAAGACCTGGCAGCAGTTGTTTTTGTGAGAACTAAATTCATGTCTCATTTCTTGTGTAATTTGTCTTGTTATTGCAAGATAAATTTTCCTGCTTCAGTTGGATTGTTCGGCGATAACAAAAGTGCATAATTTTTCGCTTACTTTATAATTAACTTGTTTTGTAAAGGATAAACAAAACGTTAAAAACGGAGGACACAAATTGGACATTTCCCAACACAGACTAATATTTGATCTTTTTGTCAGTCTTTACGGCAGAGTTTTCAATAATTCAGGATCTATAATTTGCAAAACATTTTCACCGCTTTTGCTGTTGGTTTTAGAGGCCAGAAACTCAATTCCAAAAATTCTAGAATGTTTTTCATTATTGCTGTCGATTTTTGGGTACTTAGTACTTAGGAAAAGAGACGAAAACACAGCTGAACACGTCATCATGAAAAATCTTTATTTACGCACGGGCGTGCGTAAATAAAGATTTTGTTCATAGCGGCTCAGTAGGACATTATATGGGGCAAGCAGGCGCGCTATGTTACAAATGATAATTTTGGTACGGTGAGACAGGCGATTGCATGATACATAGAGGTTTAACTCACGATTTTTAAGTAATTCTGGTGCTTCTTGTACCTTTGAGTATACTTTTCGGCATTTGCAAGGATATCTTTATTTTAACACTACTCAATCTTGTTATAGTAGGTACCAGCATCCATGGTGTTGTGTTGGAAGTGAAAATAGCTCGTTGCTGTTTCAGACAATGTAAAAATCAATCTTCAGCGGTTCTGCCGTCTTCAAAAGACTTAATCCGAGCCTCTTGCGTCGTCGCCTACAACAGCATGGAATACAAACTGTTGTCGAAAAAGGATGTGAAATCCGACGTAGGTACCCACAGAGGACCTCTGTGAGAACAGTCCTCTAATTGTACCAACAGTGCTCCGGATCAAAACCCCAAAACCACTTGGGAGGTTCGTGATGTACAATGAATTTCATTTTATGCGGAGCGAAAGATGAAATGGTGTGGGACTTTATGTTAGCAAGTTTTAGTCTTACAAAAGAGTGTGATAACGAAAATAATTTTTACCAGCCTTTGCACACAAATCAAATATATTGTGATCAATGACTCTCCCCCCCCCACCCCCGCGCGCTATCAAACGATACCTCTTTGATGATTTATTTTCTTTTAACTTTGTTTTTCCTTTCTATTATTTTAGTTGTTTCAGCATCCTGTGAAGCGCAGTGGACAGGTTTTGGTTCGTCGTGTTATAAAATACACTCTTATCAGGACTGGAGCAATGCGAAACTGAACTGCCAAAATTTTGGTGGTAAGTTAGTGAAGATTGAATCTGAAGACGAAAATCACTTTATAAAGACAAAATATTTAAGTGGAGGAGGAGGTCGATACTGGATTGGACTTTCTGACCTTGGTAATGAGAGTGACTGGAGATGGACTGATGGAACCGGAATAACTGGTTACGAAAAGTGGCGAAGTGGCCAACCGAATAATCATGAGGGTAACCAGCATTGCGGAGCAATACTAAAGGGAAACTACTATAGTGCGAATTACAACGCAGAATGGAACGACGAAAAGTGTTCCCTAACACTGGACTACATTTGCGAAAAGTGAACATTTTATACATTGATATAATATGCACCCTTAAAGTTAGCGTGCCAACCCAGGGTTATTACGAAATTTGATTTCATGGTTGAAAGCTTGAGAAGCAAATTCAGTTTTATTCTTTTTCCCTAAAATGTGATGTTTGGGTGCTCTAACAAGAAGAAAGAAAATTTTCTTGGAAAATGCTTTTGAACAAAAGAAAAAGAAACCCAGGTAAAAAAAATTAACCCTGGATCAGCATTAATCAGCCTTCAAACAACTGGGCCCTGGTGATCAGACCGCGACAGGAACATGTGAACATCTAACTTGTAAGTCAGAGAATCCGCCATATTACAGCATAAATGTATGGTTCTGACGCTCTCGATTTGGGGGCGCCCTTTGAAGCAACAACATTTCTAACATTACTCGTTCGCAAGTCCTTTTAATGTCACACAAACATTAACAGCAGAATTGCCCTTAAGTTGTATATTTTTGTGTGCCGTGAATCTGGTGAACGTCCCCTAATTTATCGTTTCTCTGGAAGTAAGGATTGTGATGCATACCCCTTTTGTTGTTTTATTATTAGCTCTGTATCATTTGTGGCGAGCCTGAGGCGAGGAAGCCCATTATAGCGGGAAAAAGCCAAAATTTGTTCGGATGTAAGAAACAAAGCATGAGGAGTCGATTGTTTTCTTATTATTTGGGGTATCCACTCCTGTGCGATGACATCACGCAAAACGCACGTGGACGAGATTGAGAGATGTCTAGTAAATTTCCAGAGCTGGGGTGTAAGCAGATTATAAAAATGGCGAGCGTTTAGTAAATTGCTACATTTATTTTCTAGATGTCTTTATTTACCTGTGGAAGTATTCATCAAGGTCTCGTTCTCGAGAGCGTTTTAGGGATGAATCTCGAGGAAGGCGAGAGATTTAAATGTGTTTTGCTGCTCCAATTGACAATATGGTAGGCCTTGTCACGGTGGAAGCCATCTTGACGAGTAGGCAACTGCGTGAGAAATTACAGTGTTTGTATAAGAATCTAATGTCGAATAATCTCTGTAAAACGGCTGTTCTAAGAAGCATATGGATTGTAAACTAAAGCTACCCAGAAAAGGTTTCTAGTAACAAATTTGTTGGGCCGTCGTACCTGTGCTTAAATTTCTCCAGAGGCTTGCTTTAGATATTCAATATGTATATCTACAATTTTTTAGGGAAATTTTTACAGACAAATGTAAAGAAATTTTTAAAAAGTGGATCTAGGTCTTCTAGCGCATGTAACGCCCTTAATTTTTTCAGCAGAATCGTTAAGAGTGCAGCCTCAATTGCCAACGAGCAGCCTTGCGAAGACGCGAGGCTGTGAGGCGGCAGCCTAATAGAGCCGTGCACGATTGTTCTAGGGGCAGAAAAAATCTAGAATCGTTGTAACATAGAGTAATGTAAGGCAACCACTACATAATACAGGACAGAGAATGCATTGTTTTCGAGCGAACACGTGATACGGATCAGAGAATCCACAAGCCGTGTGCGTGTTTTTGAGTCCCGTTGCTCATACCGTCTCCAACCCATCGTCGGGTGGATCATTTCCATCCGACGCGATATCTGTCGCATTTGCCCGCTGGAATTTTTTATTACATGCCACTAAGAAAAATAACAACGCAGCGAAATTTTTTGGTCTTTGAAGCTAAATAATTCGGAAGGTTTCATTGGCGCACCATAAACTTTTTAGCTTTAAAAAGGGACCAAATATAAGTCTTTACGTTGAATATTCGCGGACTTTAATATGATTTTTTGAGGATTTTAAGTTTGCTTGTAAGACCACTAAATTTGACGCAAAATGACATGTGCCCAACTTCGGACAAAAACACTAACTTCATCAATATGTCGAAACATTTGCTGCGTAAAGTCGGGATTTCAAATTCTTTATGCAGTAGAACAGTTTAGTTCACTATTTTTAAAAGACAAATTAAAGCAAGGGGCACACATACACCAAGCCATGATACGCCTTTCCCGCGCATGTCGTGGGAGAACTGCTGTGCGGTTCCCAGCCATCAGCACCGACATGTGTTGTGTGGAGCTGGCACTTAAAGGATTCGCATCGGCAGGAAAGGGTCTTTTATACGCGGGTTTTCCCTGGTCACAGACCGACGGCTATGCCATGCTGATGAGCCCCAGTAAGGCAAAACAGCTGTCTATGGCTGCCACTGCCCGCGTGATATGGCTGTGCGCATGCGTGAGGTAATGGCCAGGCCGTGGGTTGGTGTATGTGTTCCCCTTGCTTTAATTTACTGGTAACCCGTGATACACCTTTCCTGCGCATGTCGTGGTAGACACAGTTGTGTCGAGCGGGTGCTTTGCACTCACCTCGGCACTATGGGATTTTGAAACACGGGTTTCCCCCGTTCTATAACCCAACGGCTTTGCCACGCTGGTGGGCCCCGAACAAGGGCAGAACAGGTGTCTGTAACTGCCACTGCCAGCGTGATACGGCTGTGCCCATGCGTGAGGTGTTGGCTTGGCCGTGGGTTGGTGTATGTGTGCCCCTTGCTTTAAGTTTGCACTATTTTCAATGCAATCGAATTACGTTCAATCTATCTTTTCATTAATTACTGTATTTTATGATATTTCTAAACAAATTCAGCAGCGCCAGCGTATAGGTAAAATCTTTGCTAGTTGGCACTTAGCGATAGCTATAACTAGTTTACAATTCATATTTTTCTCAAAACAGCCGTTTAACGGAATTATATGGCATTAGATTCTCATACAAACACTGTAATTTCTTAAGCGGTTACCTATTCGTCAAAATGGCTTCCAAAACCGTGACAAGGTCTATTTGCAAATAGATGGAAGCGCGAAGGTATCGATCAAATCTTCCTTCATGGAGATAGTTTTTTCTCTAAGCATTGAACAGAAGTGATGTGCCAGGCAAACATTCTTCAGTTCGGAGTAAACTGCCGCCTCTAGCTTGCTGCTCTGGGAGAAAAGTGGGAAAGGTTCGAGGCAAATTAAACCAGCGTTACAGATTAAATCGACTTTGGTACCACATGCAATTAATGAAAGTATTCTTTGCCCGTTGAAGCGTTAGATTTGACCGTTGTGTCAAAGTCTCTGCCAGTCCGTTGAGGTAAATATGAAATTCAGCTAATAATGAGTCACATTTGTGCGCTGAAGAGAAAAAAAAAAGCCTGGAACCATATGGATTGAAAATGTTTATCAACGGTAAACTTATTAGAATTAGACTATCGCGTTGCCAAGCGTAGGCTACCATTGAGTTCCAATTGTTTTCTAAACTTTAAGGCAAAAGAAAAAATTTCTCGAGCACCGCATTAAACCCATTAACATCCATGTGTCGATACCTTCGCACCTCCATCAGGGGCACAAAGCAGCTATATTCTGTACTGTTCGAAGTAGCAAATATTGCCTAGAAATCTTTAAAGCTTGAGAAAAGCTAACAATTTCTGGATAACCGTTCCATTCGTCTAAAATATTCGGAGGTTTTCTGATAGCTTAACTACGATTTTCGGAGGATATGTTTTCGCATTTTAATACTGTATCAAGATGCTGCGATTACTTTCGTCCGGACCCACTTTCGGATGAGACGAAAAAAGCCACCTAACACTTTCGTGACGACCAAAGTTCCCCTTAGACGTCCGAACAGATAAATAGTTTTTAGGGCAACTCCAAATTGACCAAACAGGCCTCTAAACCATAGAGAAAAACCATCTGAGACACTTCTGGCGTATCTGGATATATTCGGCCGTTGAGTGCCCATGCTCCACTCGCAAATCCGCAAAAATATTGACATCGTAAAGCAGCCAAACACATACTGTTGCTACTCCCCATTTAATTTCTCCGATTCTTTTTTTGAACAGACTAACATCGATGAAATTGATTTCAACAATACAGGCATTTATGCAAATCTCGAGGCAACCGACTGAAGAAAATTATGCAAATCGATCTGCATGGTACAAGAATATTAATAGCACCCAAATCAAATTTGACGAATTGACAGACATGATTAACCCGAAAAGCGCACATTGCAATCATAAGTGAAACAGATATTGACTCCACTTATCCTAATGACCAATTTAGCCTGCCTGGTTATTTGTTATATCCTAATGATAGAAGAAAAGTTGGTGGGGGCATCTTAATAATAATAATAATAATAATAATAATAATAATAATA